GAGGCTTGAGGACTGATCTGGAGATTCCTGAAGATGTCGGCACCATGTGACGAGCAGACGCTGCACAACTAACAATATTCTCATGCCACATCGGCCGTCGCGTGGTGCCATCAGCCGGGTCAGCAGCACACATTCACACATGTCAATACACAAGTGTCGGAAAGGACGGCCTCTGCGGCAAAGTGAGTACCGGGCACGAATAAGCAAAGCAACTGCAGATCAAAAGTACATAGGCGGAGTAAGCAAGTGAATGGGGGAATTACCATAAGGTCAAGTTAGATTCAACAATATCCTGATTCATTATCCCCTTGTGTTATATTTGGATACTAATATGGTTTGTAGTAATTGTTTGGACACTTAGTTCGTTCGGTGATAGGATGAGAAACACTGCTTTTGTCGACATGTGCACAAGTTCACCTTAGTTGTTGCTACATTACACCATTCTCGGACGTTCGTAACAGAAACTCAACGGAACCGACCAAAAGCGATCATTATAGGCGGATGATCGCTGCAGGTGGGTTTTACTGTACTGCCATTTTGCTTGTGCTCATAACTGTGTGCACAACGACATGAAAAAACACCGCTTTAGTAATGGCCATCCCGCTCCATTCTTAGTCTCGGACTGATGATGGAAATGCTGCCCACAGCGCCATTCCTTCACTTACTTTCCAAGGTTCTAACACAATGTCCATATCCTCGTGGATGATAACCTTTTGTATCTCCTGAACTCCCCACCTTCTGACTTCGACTGTTTACTTGCTCGCCACTGATGTCGATTGATTTAGTCATTATATGCTTGTTCATGGTCTGTTTGCAGGTTAACGCGGAATCGGTGGCAGACGTGTCGAAGGAACTGAAAGTTGATTCGGTTCCTACAGTGATTCTGTTCAAAGTGAGTGATCCTCCAGTCGCGAAAAGCTAATAGGTAATGAGATTTCTGATCAAACCCTTTGTCACTATTAAATTATTACTGGTCTTGATGATACGCCAGTTCCGCTGTAACACCTTTCCGGTGTTCAGCCGGCATCCCACCCGAAGGAACCACGAGGACTGAGATACTGCCAGGTTACTTAAGCCCAGATAAGAGCAGTCGAAATGCCGGTTTTGAACTCGAACCACAGGCCTTTCGGTCAGTAAGTCTGCGCCTTAAACAGCGAGCTGTCTCGAACTCCTCTTAGGCCAGTATACTTCACTGTTTGTCGCTAACGGAAGTTTACTATAGTTGGCGACCGAGTGATGAATCTTCGCGTGTTTTCGTGCGTTTTTCATCAACTTCAACACTTTTATCTCATTGGAGTAATCTTTTCAGCGGTTGATTGTACATACGATTTCACTGCAATTAGCATTCGAAGCTTTCAAGTAGCTCGCCATAGCTGCGCTCATCCTACTATCGAACACGAAATAGTGACACCGTCAAGACAGAGGATATTATTTTCCGTAATTATGGTTGGGCTGTTCGTACGTTTGAGTTAGCATTTTTTCCGCACATCCGCAACAGTTTCTTCGCAAACGGGTGTATATTTTTCTTGGGCCCTCTTTTCAATGTCGCTTCCAATCTGCTGGTTTAGAAAATCCCTACTTATTCACACATTTTAGTCATATCCATAATCGTAACACGGCCGCAGAGAAGGCAGTGTCGATTTCTTGCAGCTGTTTTTCAGATTCCACGGAGCGCTTGGGCACTTCTCAATTTGTTGGCGGTTGTCAGGCTATAAAATGGGGTGGTGAAGTTCAAAGTGTCCTGGCGCTTCATCATAGCACATCTGATTGGGCTTGCTTTTTTACTGCCTTTGAATCGCTGACATATAACATGGCGATAAATGAAGTGAAGAAGGCTAGAAAACGTTGTTTAGAACGAACTGGAGAGGTTCTTCAGTTCAGCTGAAATTCTTTCTTAAATTAGCCATGCTTTTAATATCCTTAATAGGGCGGACCGTCGTTTGATATAACAGGATCATCTATTTGTGCTAAATGCAATGAATGATAACCAGGGACCTATATTTACCGTGCGAAACTGTGAACTGTTCCGTCTTCCAAAGGAAACCCCCAAACCTACTGCGAATACAGATAATTCTTAAGCTACTTTTCGGCTATCTCAAATTTCGTCAAGCAGGCGTAACCAGACGCCTTCTTCATTAATATTGCACACTACTGTTAGTCTTGATCACGGAGTTATCCCAACGTGGCTAATGTTGTCCGTCTGGAAACACCAGGCCAGCCATAATGTTGAACTAATTCGACAACCCCATAACTCAGGCAACGGCCCCACTGACAGGTTTCGCGCCCAAACAAATGCCGAATGAAGCGAACATTGGTATCCGACCTATGCCATTCCCCGCTGTATATCATCACTATCTTGGTATTTCTTAGCATTGCCTTATTCAATTTTGACCGCAGTGAAGTGAGTGAGTGCATGTCACTGCATTCTCAGTATCAGACGGGATCGGCGGTAGACCACCGCTGACGAGCTTTAGCAGCTTTGTCGAGCTGAAGTGTGAACCGAACTTAAGCAAGAAAAGCTTGCTTAAAGCCGAACTCCAGTCGCCAGCAAGCATATTTCGTGAAAACTGTGCTAGGTGGAAGTTGTTACCGCCAACCATAGGGGATTTCTACTTTCCTCCGCCAGCTAGTTTTTCTCTTGAATGTACTTGCATTATTTCCCATTCCGCACCATTCGTGGTTCCCAATATGGTGTACCGTATCCTTCATCCCCGACTGTTAGAATGGCACCGAGGTCCGTCGTATCTGTGGGGCGAATATCGCGGAGATCACGAAAGCGGTGTCGAATCTTTCTCATCCGGACACAAACGGTGATGTAGAACTTGATTCACTAGATCTAAACACTCGACTGCGAAACCTCATTCGACGTTCTCCCGTTATGCTGTTCATGAAAGGCACTCCTTCTCAACCACGTTGTGGATTCAGCAAGCAAATCTTGGAAATTTTAAATTCACTGAATGTTTCGTTCGACACTTTTGATATATTGACCAATGAGGAAGTTCGGCAGGGTGAGTATCCCCAGTCTAGTTTTGATGATATTAACACAAAGTGGACGCATAGTCAGCAGTCTAATTTTCACCATTCATTCAGAGAGGCTCCTCGGCTTATGCCATTAATATTTAGCCGTTTCTTTGTAAATTTATATCGACTCGGTTTACAGAATGAACTTCCTGTGGTAAGTTCACTTCGTAAATTCACACTTCGTCATTGAAGAAGCGATCAGGAGCAAGGTGCATTCACGTATAAACAACATCCGAGCATTGCATTGGGGCAAGACAATATCAGCGGGATAGATCCCAGCTTCTCAGGTGCTCGCAAGATGGAGATATCCGAACATTGTTGTTTGGAAAACATTCTTGGAGTATGTCCAAAAGGTTGTGTATCGAATGAAGAGCTCGACCGTCGATTCCTTGGCACCACTCGACTCGAGAAACTTATCCAATACCATCGACTCCGATGGTTTGGACGCGTTTTTCGCTGGCTGCACACGGAAATCGTTCTCGTTGCTAAAGCGCGTCAAGAGTGACGTTATCTTCGAGTTAAGCAGCTGAGAACCTGAATCCACACTGCTAAGACCTGTGTCGAACACCTGGGCCTACAGGTTGTGAGGGGCCCACAACACCGGAACCAACTTCGGGTCTACATATGCAGGAGCCTTGCCATCTAATGCCGCGATTCCAGGCATTCACTGAGCTGGCTCAGATTCACACAGGTACACTTTGTCTGCTTCCATAGCGATCTACCGACCTGGTACGAACCTTTCCATTGTGAATATGACGCAACCAGCGATTGACTGCTACGTTTTGTGGACAGTGATGTCAAGTGTTTCCACAGGGATAGACCAGGTCTGACACGTATAATGAGCAAGCAAGTTTCAGTGGACTCTTTCTGAAGTCTAGGATGGCGAATATAGCCCGTACGTTGATAATGTGCGTGTTAAATTCAGCTATCACGGTGCAATCTCGGCCTAGATAGCTGCTCAAGCTCATTGCTCGCAAGTTTTAGAGGGATACAAGACAGTAAGAATTCCGGGAGTAGGTTATACAAATGCCCGACCAACGGATAGCAGAACTATTCCACTGGCGTAATCCAATCTCAGTGGCCTTCAACCGTGATTTCAACATCTGAATTCTTGCTTTTGTGTGTGCACTTAATGGTAACTGAACATGAAGCGAGAGGCAGGATAACCCTAACAACCCACGCTAGTTGCGAGCAAACTTTTGAATAGCTCATTACAAACCTTAGGACGATCGGAAAGCTCCGGATCAAGGAGAATACATAATGTATACAAACTCGAAGGGCTTTTCCGCCCTGACCGACTATACGTGGAGGGATCAACCTATCTATGGAGCCAAAAGCTTTTTTGAAGTTCAGGAAAGCTACGATTGTCGATTAGCACTGTTGTGGCAAGTTTGCAGTCACCCGACCGTGTGTCCTTGGCTGCAGGTAGATCGGCCAAAAATATCCATGGAGGGGCCCCGGATCGAACAAACCCGAATTCGGGAGTCGCCACATCAAGCTACATCGTGACACGTTTGCGTACTGCAGCCCAACGAACTAGGGAAGGTCCGGAGTAGTCGAACCAATGCGTATATACCGCAGTCCATTGTCCTAGTGAGCAGCAGGACCCAGAGAGGGATAGGACACATTCGTAGTATGGGACCCAAAGAATGGAAGTGTCACACTACAAATGCGTCACTATCGATTGCTACATGAATAGGATTTCCGGCCCCACTTAAACGGGCTTGCCGTTTGACTGTTTGAACAGTCACAATAGACTACTAACCTGGTAATTAGTCTTTTCACTGCATTATGCTCGGCGCTGCTCAGTTATTTGATATAAGGCGAAGAATGAATAGTTGACCTATTTGAAATCCTGTTTGGTACTTGTACTTGCGTCTCACTTTGTCACTTTAGATGTTGCCGTGTTTGGAGTATACACAGTGTAGTTGCTTCAGTGGGCCTTTTTCATTAGGCTCTAATTTTATGGAAAGCAACTTTGTTCCGGCAGTCCAGTCAAGGTGAACCAAAAGGTTCACCAACGTCTTTGGAAATGCTGAGGAGTGTATATGTTGCTCTGCGGCCCGATCGTCGTTAAACTGTAGCACCCTTCTGGTGCCTGATTGTCATGCTCGAGGGCTGAGATACTATCAGTCGTCCAAGCCTAGACAGGAGCGGTCGAAATGCATCTGTTAGATTCGAGCCTTCTTAGTGAATTCGGGTTTTAACCACAGCAATCTCGAGTGGCTTGATAGCAATTCGGGACAGAAAGGCTTATTAATACTTAAGGAACCGGGAGAGGGCCTAAACTGCTCGAATTGATATGGTCGACAGACGTATGCGACCAATTAAACTGTTGTTGAAAATATTCCACCTAGTAGTCAAAGAGCTTTCTTGCTACATATTATTATTATTATTTCACTACCGGTTTCTTGAGTCTTTTGTGTACGAGATGTAACAGTTTTTGGGCATTACCACTGGGCTTTTCTATCCACGCACAGACTTTGTTTGGGCTGATAATTGACATGCTTTTTGGCTAGTCTATGCTATTTCCCCAGAGGATTACGCCAACAAACGGCGATAACCATTTCGAGACCCACCCTTTGTTGTTTGGACGCTCAGAATAGCCACATATTGAATTTTCTGCCATGTGCAATGCAGTAATTACAGGAAACGTCTCCGCAGACTTCAGCTTTTGCGATTTTCACAGAGGGCTACACAAGCAGTATAAAATTTAACTATAACATTATCTCCCGTAATGAAACATTGTAGGAAGACTTATTCATTCGCTTTTTTTCACGGTTCACGCTATTTGGAGGAGGGATCAAATTAACTAACCGCACCACTCACATTTTGGCTAGACTCATTCAATAAGTATCGAGAATTGTCACGTCTCTAGCTACTAAACTCGAAAGCTTAGATTCGGAAAGTTTCCCACTATGAGTTCACTCCGACTCACGCCACGTAGTTTTACTCCGCCGGAAAGCCCTTTATGCAACATCCGACGTCCTCAGCGCGTAGCCGAATCTTTACTAGTGGAAATTTACTAGTGATAGGTGTAAATGCCTTTCAATAACACGATCGTTCGTTAACCCTATGACCATGTTTCGGGGATTATGCGTTTACTGTAAGGCTTTCTTTTTCTTTCAGGATTGAAAACGTTCTCCAACTGGCCAACTTACCCTCAACTGTATGTTAAAGGTGAGCTTATTGGAGGCCTGGACATTGTGAAGGAGATGGCCGCATCCGGTGAACTGGAAGAGGCGCTAAAAGTTTAATATATGCATTTGATCCAATCAGATTCACAGTGACCTTACTGTGATTTTTGGATATAAACTGTCCGTATCTGATTAACTTTTTCATGTTGCTTTCACTGGGAAGGTGTTTAACGATCTCTTCAGTCTTTAGTTATGGTTCATGGTCCACATCCATCAGGTGCCCACTGGCTATACAACGAACCCCCTCCCTAGGTACTCCCCAAGTTTTATGAAATATGCGCATGTTATCGAATGTGAATTAATCCCTTTTAGAGAGATCACAGGCGAGTGCGTAATCAAAACAGTTCTACACTTATTCGAGTCGGTCATGGAATTTCAGTTCCAGCTGGCATGCTAGCGGCATTAAATGCTCGTACGGATTGGACTAAAGTCACGATAGACAAAGGGTCACAGTACGAGCCATCAAGTGTAAGCCTTGACCATTCATCAGGCGTAAACAGTGACTGGGTACTTCCTGTCTATCCCTCTTACAAGGACAGGACAACAAGATTGCTTAAATTAGTTGTCTTGCACAACTCAGATTTCAGAACTCTGAAATGGCTTCGACTTTTGAGAATATGGTGTTTTGGAACGTTTGCAAACGGAGTAAAATAGGTCAAATATATTCTCGAATACTCCACTGATGGTCACTTCGGACCAAATGCACAATACTGTTGGTTCCGAAAAAAAACGGAATGTTTTCAGAAATCCGTTTGGATAAATGCCTAGTTGCATGTTCCAAGTACTGCACGCCAAAGATCTTCATTTTGCTCTTGTCTTTTGGGCAGTATTGTAAGCCCTGTGTCGGTCTTCCGCCGCGGTTGCTTGAGACAGCTTTTTATGGGGACCAAGCGGAGTTATCACACCATATTACAAGGTTTATCATGTAATGTTCCACAAGGTCACGTCAGAATCTTCGTGAGGGGGGGGGCAGCATCAAGGTTTAAGCGCCTGAGTGACGTTCTGATCAGTCAGGTACTGCGTTCGTTCAGTACGTAACTGGCTTTTCACACATCCAATCGACGTGATGTTCGTTCGCATTACCATGTATATCGCGACTGAGCTTACACAACCGACTTAAGTGGTTATGGAATTGTCATGATTGCACACTTGCTCAATGCGATTATTCGAAAAGTGGTTTGTTCGTTTTCTGTGTTTCGTGTCTCTCAATGCTACTTGTCCCTGACGCAGGATATATATTCGGATACTCAAGTTTAATCGGCGTTTCCATGTCACTCCTACTGAGATAGGGGCACAATAACGGATTTTTGTTTACTTATAGAGTTACGGAGCAGACAGATCACGTTGGTGTATTGCCTCGGATGGCACGCTTATTTCCACATGCGTTCTACAAGCCTCGTAAACTGTTGTAAGTACCACCTCGGCTTACTTCTGGTTGATACTAGAATCCTTAGCATCGTCATAAACCAAGGACTTGCGTCATTCGCAAAATCCCATCAGTGTACAGTAGAATGATCGGATGTTGGATGTGGATCCAGCAAATCTAGTGGCTTCATTTTCGTTTGTTTCCGGTAATATTAGGAGTCTGCATTAAAAAAAACAGCATTAGTAAATGCAGCACTAGATTGAGCTGCCGCAAGTTCTCCGAAGACACCTCGTTCTAAATCAACGCAGTCCAGGCTTATAATCGAATACGCCTAAGTCAGCTAGGAAAGGAGAATGTTTTCTGACAGTCTCGTATCAGGTCAAGCTGGGGTGGACAGAGGACGTCCATTAATAAGCTTCGAATACCACACATTTAATGAGCTTACGTGGAGTGTTCAAAGCTGCCTAGTTGTGCAACAACGTCGAATGCTATTCGGAGGAGATAATTCACCCACGATAGATGAACTGGTTACACTGCATAGGTTGCGCTGGCTTGGTCATGTGCTCCGCATAACAGTCCACCGAATTCCTCGAAGAATTCTTTTTTTGCAGCACCACGCGAAAGGTGAAAACGAGCCAGGAGAGGCTTGGCAGCGAATTGTGAAAACCATTTCCAGCAAACTCAGCTGTGCTGGTCGTTGCCGTCCCCCTGGATGGGGACCCCGTTAATGGCTGGAGACATTGTCAGACATGGCCCAGTCGCGCCCTCAATGGTGGTCGTGCACTCAAGCTATTGCTTTCTATACATATCTCCCCAATCCCCCCAAATTAAAGTCCACTGATAGACCTCTATTTACGCACCAATTCGCAGCCTCCGGCCCCATCTCAGATCATCGAAGGATGAAATTGTGACGGCTAAAACCATTGCACGACAAGTACGCGGTTCTTAAAGCTGATAATGATGATAATGTACTTCAGTCCATTACTGCACGTTATTTCCCTACCAAATCGACAAGGGGAGCGAGATGGCCCAAGTGGTTAGTGCGCGAATTTACGGAACGGAAGGTCTGTAGTTCGAACGTGACCTCTGCCTCTTGACTTTAGCTATCTTGGCTTGGACAAGCTGGCAGTATCCCAGCCCTCGTGCAATCTTCGGATGGTATGGCTGTTAAGCACCGAAAGGGTGCTATAGCTGAACGATTTTTTTCTAAATTGTGATAAAATTTCGACATGTCCAGGTGTGGATAGTTATGCCAATCCACCCGTTGAGTCCTGCAGTTCATATCTAGACGGGCGGGAGTTTTTTATTCTCCCTTGGTGACTAAACGCGGTTGGTTTTCTGTAGCTGATCATCTGGTGGCATCGTCGATGCTGCTCACTGAAGAGGATGTTTTTGGCTAAGGTTGGCTGTTGGTTCGTTTGCTGGGCTGGACAATTAGGTTGCGAAATTTCTCCAACCAAGCAAAGTGCCATCGTCTGTGTGCTTTTGTAAAACGAAGCGGCACGATGTGGCAATCCCACCACCACTAGGCTGTCGTTTTCGATTACTGACTCATGAGCACCAGAACTGCATTGTCCAAATTCAGTGGGCTCTCGACTGGAGTGGGCTAAGCGTGGCTGATAGCTTAGGATACACATCACTATTCCCTACTGTATGCCAATTCTAATACCGACCAAAGTGTGGAAACTACAATGCCTATTGAGCTCATAGTAATTTTTACGGCGTGAAGTTATCTGGGTCTGTGGTTTTTATTCGGGTTTGGTTGAGGATAATAATGGACTGACAACATTTAAACTAGTTTGCACCCGTATGTCCGAAGCACAGTGGAAACTGTTGATTACCTGGAACGAAGGAAGCAGAGTGATTGAGTGCGTGCTTAAGAGGACTGTTTACAACTAGAATGGGTTTGGCAGGAAGTAGAAACGTGTGATTCGGCTAGCACTAAGTACCGATCTCAGGAGAACACGCTACTGTGAAGGGGATATCTTGACATTCCAGGTGAACGTTTCGCTGACCAGGAAGTACGACATTTCTGGCTGTAATCTATGTTCCCTTGTAAACTCTGAATGAGGAATTACTTTGTGGGCAAACCAAAGGTGACAGTCTAACATGTGCAAAATACTCGAAAAATATATTGCACACAGCCACCAGAAAGTATACTAGTTTAGATGGAATAGTCTTCTCTTTTCTGGATCAAGTGCGTTCAGGGTTTTTTGCCAATAGCCAAAGTGACAAAGGTTGCGAAACACCGGAGAACTCTCAATTTGCGGGTCGGTATTTTCGATGTTTATTACCACAGACTAACCATAATGTGTGAAGCTTCCGTTCAACAATACGTTTTTGCCTTTGACTGTTTCTGTGATGAAAGTGTTAAAACAATTTTGGCAAGGCACATCGCGAAACCTTTCTCTCCAATGACCTCGTGGTGACGAAAAAATCGGCGCAAAATGACAGAAATATGTGGGTACATAAAATCAGCAGTGCCCACCAGTGCACCGAAAGAATGCGGTGAGGTTGTGAAGACATTGGAATGCGAACCGCCCTCTTGAGTGATCTCTTTAAATGTATCTCGTACATAAATACATACAACAGTCGATCATGTATGCCAGTTAGGATAATTAAATATGATCAAGCTCACTCACAATTTCTTGTCGTGAACTTCGATCAGGCATGCAACGGAAGATGTAAACCAAACTGAATGCTCGCTTGGCCTACATAGTGGGGTACATTGTGGAGAGGCAGTGAATTACAGTTTGATGGAATCTGCTGTGATCTGTCCAACAGTTTTGGTACATCGGTCATAATGACAAGTTCGGCATTGGGAACGCTCGTGACGCTCATTTTCACTCCTCTTCGGACTCTTCTTCGGATTCCTCCTCATCTGTCATGCTTCCAGCCACAACATCGGCTGAACGCGCCGCAGGGACGTTCTCAAAAATGCCACTCTCGGCACACTGTTCACCCCATATATCAATCTAGGAAAGAGTAGATAAGAGGGTTACCGTTTTAGTTAACTTGTGGCTCATATTGTATCACTAGCTTCGGAGCCCTATTTCTGGTTTTCATTTACTAGTTAGAAGCGAACCTTCAGTATAACTTTATAGTACAGGTTTGCTTTCTAACAAACACAAATTAAGATTGGAAACCTACCTGAAAGCGCCGGGCGTTTACTGTAAAGCATGTTCGGCGTTTACAGCGATAATTTGTTGTGTTACTTGCCTGGTTTGAGTAGCTCAATTTGTTCGCTAGTACGGAAGAGTCGTGAGTAATATGAGTGCCCCACTCCCAATTTCAGTCTGCTGTCCCCCATACAAATTGAGTGTCACCAAACAAACAAAACATTGAAATTCTAAGACCTTCCGTGGGAGATGCAAGTTACGGTGAATTTCTGGATTTAGATGCATCCCTTTAGAACCTCTCTCTTTTCGATGAATTTCACTAAGGTGAAAGCATATCTCGACGTGAGAGAGTATAGAGTATAGCTAAGCTTCAAGGACCTATGTTATGTCGCCTCTTCTTTGTGCGCTCGATTATATTTTAGCCTATTGCGTGATATCGGTCCTCCACCAGTTTGATTGAAAGCAACGCCAATACCTCACAACCATGCCAATTTTTTAATAGTCTTTCAGTGGAAAGAAGAGGAGAATTGCACAGGGAGGTTTCCCTACCACAAGCAGCCTGGGCCTCTAAGAATGAGGTAATATGGAGGAACTGACAGCATGAACGACAGTGAAGTCGGTCAGCAGCCATATCGTTCAGTGTCTTCAGCCAAGTGCATGGGTCAGGTGAACTTCATCCTGTAAACTAACACTGACAGCATGACAGTGAAGTCGGTCAGCAGCCATATCGTTCAGTGGCCTTCAGCCAGTGCATGGGTCAGGTGAACTTCATCCTGTAAACTAACAACCTCAACACCGTCCAAACTTTTCGTAACACTCCTTGTTCACTTTTACCAAACCATGCTCTCTTTGCTGTTAAGTTTTCCGCCACTCCGAATGAGGCATGGAAAACAACACACTTCTCAGCACCACATCAGAAACTGAACACGGCTTGGAAATTAGTCCGGAGCAATTTTTTGCAATTCGTGTGGGAAGCAGTTTCGACCGGTCCTGGTCATATAACTTCTTCTAAAGGAAAGTAATCTATAATCTAGAGTGATTTACGGAAAATTTATGTACGAGATCAGAACACCAGTTAAATTGCAACTACCTCTTAGACGGCAGAATTATGGGACAGTTGTAGCGTCCATACAGACAGGCTATGTGCTATCAATGCTTATGAGCACCATACCCATCTCTGATCCGCTTCGCTTCCACACATGTAAAAGACTGAACAATTGCATAAACTTACAATACCCGGTCTGGCCTTATTTTTCGCGGCCTCCTCTTCTTGTTTTTGTCGTTCAATCAGGGCCTGTTTAGCTTGCGATGCGAAGCGATATTCTGCCGTCCCCTCACCATTCGCTTCTGTTTCGACCACGGCGATGGGCTAAAATGGAAGTAGAAGTTACTGTTCGCAATCACATTCAGCTTATTACCGACTAAGTCAACAGTTCGTTTAAATCAAATACGGCCAGTTGGTAACATATGGTATCCTCAGTACGCACGTTGAAAAAAATGAAACAATGGACATTTGAACTTGATACAGGTTTGCATAGTCGGGATATACTTTGTTTATTGCAGTCATTATGCTAAGAATCTGGAGAGGTGCAGTGAAATACATCCTGATTATTGTCAAGCATATACAGAAAACTCACTTTTGTGCGTTGAATCTGTTCTTGTGCCTTGCTGGCCTCCTGCATAAACCGATCTTTTGCCTCAGAGGCCCATTTCGCGGAGGCTGATGGATAATCGTCATTCTGCTCATCATCGTAGCGAACAACATCTTCCCGTCTTGTGGGTTCGTTTTCATAAATACCACCTTCGGCGGCATTTATGTCGACCTGTATATGGTTCACCATGACAGAAGAATGAATCCACGTAGTAAATGGTGAATCAGTGTGTCGTGGTTATTTAGAAATACGGAGAGCAGAAAATATGGCCGACTTTGTCAACTTTAGCTAAATACTGCCATGCAAGGCGGCGGCATGATAACAAGGGTCCAAGTACTGTTTGCATCCGATTCGAAGTTAACTGTGTGTCAAATGCCCCGGTTGTATGAAATGGGAAGACAAACGGCTTGCATGTTTGAACCATAAGAAGAGAACTTTGAGAGAAATCTTAAGGGAAGAATAGCGCACAGCTTTCGTACTCAGGTTTATGCGGTGTTTCTGAATGGATAAATTGCGAATGTGCGACGAATGGTACTCAGTGTTGGTGAGTTCTAATGCGAACGAAACTTGTGTCCAGTACTTCCTGTGTTTGGGGTGAACTCACCGAAATAATTTAATCAGGGCACAAGTGGAACTTATACGAAAGTGCTGTGAGCGCAGGTTGCACGAAGACTGCGTACAGCCTGGTCGAATTCTATGAGAGTTTCTGTGCCAACTTTGATAAGCCACAAGAGTCTCCATAATTGTCTACTTAGAAAAGTCCCCTTGAAATTCAGGTGAATAATATAGCGAATAGTACCCTCCGATTAAGTTTGCGTTGTCATGTAATATAACAATGCGTTTGAACAGACAGATTACTGCAATGTTGGTGGGTTTAGGTAATGTGTAGCTAAAGCTAGGCTGATTGCGGCGGACCTACGTATTTTTCCTGTGCAAGGCTAGAAGTCTCAGTGTTTACAGTGCGGATTTACTGACAGGAAGGTCCGTGGTTTGAACCCGGCCTCTGCATCTCGACTTTTCTCGTCTACGCTTGAGCGACTTGGCAGTATCCAGCCATCGTGCTTCTTTCGGGTGGCTTGGCACTTAGGTGCCGAAAAGGCGTAACAATTGAACGATTATTTTTATTGAATAGACGTAATACACTACTCATAAAGTTTCAAAAAACTCTTCGACCATCATAAATGAGATTCAGCTGGGTTCCAGGTGATCCTCCTGTCAAAACCGAATTGGTATGCAAACGAGTGTATTTCGATTATCATTATTGATATTGTTAATATTATATGCAAGGTGGCAGAAAATCAAGTGGATTACTTCAGACACTCCGACAACGCACGCTAGTGAATAACGGGAAAGTGTGCGTGCCCTGTATACATGACGATGGAACGTATCCAGTTGGTAATATACTCTCTTCGGAAAGAAACTCGAGTCTAGTGTTTTATTTCCGGTTTTGACTAAGAAGAGTAACCATCTTACAACAATGCAGGGAATGATGCAGGTGAAAAATCAAATACTGTTCATTTCAACTAAAAAGAATACTCACTCTGACGGGCTCCTTCTTAAGGGAAGCTGCTTCGTTTGCCCTACGAAGAAACTCCTCTCGTCGTTCTCGGGCACTGATGCCAGCCGGTAAACTTCTTGCATCTCCCCCACTTCGTGTGATGTTTTCCAGTTTCTCGGGTTCATTCTCAAAAACACCACCGTAACCCTTAAGATGGGAAAAAACGGCACTGAGTTTGACATTCATTCAAAGCCATTGCATCAAACTGTGTCTATGCCAAAAAGAGAGTGAAGATGATACTACTATGACGAATACCTCAATGTTTGAAAACGGTGAAATACCCGTGAATGTTGGTTGTATCCCTGCATACATCTTTTAGTATGCTGATTTGGAGGGATCTAGCAAACGAAACCTGGATCGTTATGTTAGGCTACTAGGCTGCCCCTCAGAGTGGCTTTTGTATTCTCCTCAAAACTGGGCTTTATACCAGCTCTACTAAAGTTCAAGGGCAGCTGTTTTCATCCTGTAAAGTAATAACTTTGTAGCCAAGGACTTAAACTTGTTTCAATTTCCATACCGGCTTGTGCAGTAACAAGAAATTCTCCGTTTATTGGCTGTAAATTTCAAGTGAAATCCGATTCCTGTGTTTGCGATACCTGAGGCTAGTTATATATGGTTATCCTACCTAATAACAGTTCCAGTAATTCATACCCTTCAGCCTCGGGTGACTTTCCTTCTGTTAGCTGATATTTAGAAGTCATTCTGCCTTCCGGTCTACCTCCCCGATGGCTTATTCAAATTCCTAGAAAACGGAAACTTTACTCCCCAATTTTAGTAATTTAAGCAGCCTTTTAGCACACCACCTTGAACATGACTAATTACTTTTGTGTACACAACGGTGTTAGAATGGAAGGGTGGAAAGGTCCACTTTACATCACTCCTTTCAACGGCTTTTACAAACGAAAGCTAAGCTACCACGTCGTACTTACAAATGAACTATCAAAACTGGACCTTTGGTTTAGTTTTCAGACCCTGGAACCAGTATGGTCACTTCACATTCGTTGAAATCATGAGTTTTGAGTGGTAACTTTCTTGAATGCAGTTCACCGTCATCCATTGTAGGATGGTGGATGCCGCCGATCAACAGAGCACTCTGCTCTTGTGCTAGTGCTAATGCTCGTATACTTGCTTTTGCTCGACCTTCGTGACCATTCCTCCAGAGAATGAACTAGCTAGGCTATGCTTTCAAACTTTCCGTAGTAAGTCGATTTACTTTGAAACTGAAAGTCCTTCCTTGATCAGAAAACAGCGTCTACCGTTTGGTTTTATTATGCCGACCACCCACCGAAATCACGTCTCCTCTCAGTATGCCTCAGTAGCCATGAAATAATGAAGACCTACCGGGAGCTTCCTTATGAGTTCACTTATGAAATTGTTTTATAAGGTTCCCCACTCTCACCATATTTTCCTGACTTCTTAGTCGAGCTGAATATAGAACACTTACATATTCTGGAGTCCGATTGAGTTTCTGGTTTAGTTAAGTGTTACACATACCTGATTGCCCTGATTGATCTGATTGAACTTATCACGAATGGGGTGAAATAGGGCTGTGATTTGAAGGAGAAATAACGAGGACGTAGTCCAAGATGCTGGGCGGTTGAACCACCCAGCCAATGTCGCTTCAGCACCAGGCCACCACATACCGACGGGCATCAGTTGGTAACGACTGAGCACAATCACACATGGTTGCAGTTAGGCGCAGTATGGGACGCAACAGATCTAGGTAAACACTGTTTGACGGTGGTGGGAAATCTGATTGACCAAAATATAGTAGGAATACCAATGGCTTTCACAACTCACGTGCTACAGAAAGAAATTGGGTGCTAATCGTTCAAAGAGACCGTCACGCAACTTACAAGGTTGTCGTGCAATAGTTCATACTTTAAAATGAAGTTCTTCGAGAAAATGCCAATGCGTTTGTCAAGCTGTCACCTTTGAGTTTAAAACGACAGACTCCAGAATTCCGTGTTATCCCGTGACAGTTGTCTAATCCTGACTTTACGTAGTCAAAAATGGCTGAAATAATATACCTGAAATAATGTGGTTATCACCGTCAAATTGACCGAAATTTTTCTCTCGGTCTGGTGCACTCTATATCTTAGAGAGGCTGTTTCCCTGCATTTTCAAGCTTCCCTTGGAACATATTAGCACAAGAGATCGTCGACTGACTGACCAATCACAACACCTTAGGCTTTTGGGTCTAATTCATGAGTTTTGTCATCTCCCACGACACAATAAATAAGACAGCCCGGTGTTGAACTCTTATTCTCAGCAGTGAAAACATCTTTGATGGTTGAAGATGGCATATCACTGTTCCTGACAAAAACGGGCAGCTGTTTAATCAAACGTAACGTACCTCAGAACTGTATTCTGCCACTCTTTATTTTCATACCCTGCACGGGCTTCTTAAAGTTCGATGGAAATCAGTCAATGGTCAAGTTTATCAATGGTCTGAAGGTCACGAGCTTTAAGTTTTCTGAGAATGTGGTCACGAGTGAAAGTGGAAATTTTTACATGGCATTATCACCTAATGTCTTGAAGCAGCTGTCAACGGTTTATCTCAGTCACATGACAAAATGGTGACAGGACTTGCAGAAAAACTCAGAAGACGCTCTACAAACGCCCTCAGAAAATGGCTTCGTTACCATCATCCATTCAATCGGAAGCAGTCTTAATTTTCTCAGTACGATACTCATCATATTCTTGGATAGTATAGAATGCTGTCGACTAATTTTCCATAAATGAAAGATGTCATTTATCTAGTCCACTGTACAAGGCCAACCTATTCTGAAGAATATCCGGTAAAGGAGGAAACACATAGGAAATTCGAAATCCTATCAGTAGCTATAGGAGCTGTTTGAATGCTCTTACACTAAACCTGGCTGGGAAAGGATGTCTCTCCTAGTAGACTGCACGCCACTTATCGACAATTTCGCCTGCCAAATCTTCCATACGAAAATACGGCCACTAGGCGGGCTTTCCTGATATAAAAACAGGCACTTCTTCACACTGAAATCGTAGGTTAGTTCTATGAACCACTATGTATCTGAGTGTCTTTTGATTTCGTACATTTCACTCCGGACCTTCAACAGAGTAGACAAATAAAGAAGTTTAATTCTAACCTATTTCTCCTTTCACAGAAAGCGTGGTGGAGTGAACGAGTGGTGTAATAAAAGGAACCATTTGCAAACCTCTTCCAGCAATCCACGCGACCACCTGAGCAAACAGTTGAACAGCTGTTTATTATCGGTATGCGAATTCGTGAAGGTGTCGTTGTTAGGGTGAAAAGATGGAACACAGGAGTTCAAAACACAGCACAGACGGAAACTTACTTCCCTATTGTTCACTCTAAACAGATGGTGCATTATAGGATATTATCCCATCGTGAACCAAGTTCCGGGTAGGGGGCATACTGGTTTACCCATCAATGAACTGTGTCAACATATCTTACGATTCAGCCCAAACTTACTTCACCATGGATGTCGATTTTAGGTCTCTCTTCAACGGACTTTTCCACTTTTCCACTTTCAATATCCTTCCACCTAGCTCGAGCTGACCGTGTGGCTTCCGGTGCCACTGATTTGTATTCATCAATAAGTGCATTCTGTTTAGGTTTATCCTCTTCCTCCAGCTGGTTAGGGGTAAAAGTAAATGGAAAACAACACATTCAGCTCCGGCGACGAAGTTTAACGTCAGATTTTTTACTGCAAAAATGCAAATATGAGGCAGTAAATGAAAATTTCATCTTCAACTTGAAATATCGGATGAACAATGTCACAACCAGTACAAAGGCAAGCATTTGCCAGATCTGAGTGTCAAATATTTTACACGTCAATTAGAGATTCAGCCCTATCCGAATACCAGGCACAATCTTATCTCTTGGGTTACTTGGTTGTCATGAATTGCTAAATCCAACTCTTGAGGATGGCAGCTAATTCGACGAATTCCGGCCATTCTAGATTTTGGAGGTCTTTTACGAACAGCCAGTACTCATTCTTACCTGTGAGACGTCCTGGTGATACTCGGCTTTTAAGAGGGTCTGAGACCACCTACTAATAGGAAAGTTTGTGATTTGAAACCGACCTCAGGTCTTGGTTGCTTCTGTCTAGGCTTGGGCAGGCCGACAGTGTCTCAGTCCTCTTGCTGTCTTCGGGCGGCATGACAGCTAGGTACTAAAAGAGTGCTACAACCAAAACTTATGCTATTACTTATGAAGAGTTTGAGGAACACAAAATTAATTCCTGGGCAACCCAAGCAATCATATACTTGAAATATTTGATCTCAGTGGGTGTTTCAAAAACCTAAGACTGACACTCGCTCGTGTGACAAAAGACTTGCCCTCATGTTCCAAGCCAAAGCTCAAAATAAAAGGTGACAAATGGCATACTTGTATCTTTGTCCAAACAACTCGGGTCTTATATTTCATTGAATGACTAAGTGGAAGACGAACTGTGACAACTCACCGATGTGCCGAAATACAGATTAGAAAACCGAGGATAATAACCTTGTAAACAGAGTTTAGGTCTAATAGACTCTGATGATCCTGCACTGCTTGGATGTTGGGACGGCTGACCCCTACGAGATGAGGAGGCAAAATGAGGAGAGCTATTCGGTTCTCGGTGCCTAGGAGTTAAATCACGAGAAATGGGGATCGGTCAATTCTCCAAATGAAGGACCTTGTGCGCGTTATGACGGTTCAGATAAGCAACCCCCAAAACAGAGAATGGAGGTGCGAAAATGTTATGAAGTGATGTTCCTGTTAACAATGACGTCGTCGTAACTATCGGGCCGCTTACGTCAGACCTCAAACATGTAATCTCCCAGTCTGTTGGTTTTGAAAACAAGACCGGTTGGACATTTCATGGCTCTGACCAAGAACCGCAGGATAGGACAGATGTTATCCGCGATAGCATTAAAGTCGAGACCGTCCCTCAATTCGCCATTAAGTGAAAACGACTTTTCTTTTTTTCAAATTTCTATAGTATATACCAAGTAACCAGTGACAATACTTTTGTGTCTGGTAAATTTACTGGCTGTACTTACGGCTTGGTGATTGTGTTCAACTTTCACAGCCTCTGCATTCCCTATGTAGTACTGTTTCAGAAATACTAACGAAGATAAGTAGTCCGCACAGGCAACTTAGTGTATTTGTCGAATTTCAGTTTCTTCCACATCCTTTAAGTTCTGAAAACAGCATATCTGATTTCCACAACTTTTAATTGGGATCTAGGTTCTTCTGTCGTCAAACGAGTGCAACCCACACTGGCCACCTCGGGGCACGTATCAGGTGATGCGGGGGATGGTACATCCATAATTCGTCTGTGCCACATCTCTTGGTCACAGAAAAAGATTGATGTACGCACACATGACAGTCAAGGTGTTCGTGAAAGAACGATCGGTAATTGCATTGCATTCTTGTCAGTGCAAACCATTACAAACCATTACGATGCAGGGTGGCTGTGCCTGGTTCGAGTGGCGCAGTCCCGCACTGTTCTTGAAACAGCACAACACGGTTGTTTGGCTATCAAGACTGTCGGATTATGTTTTGTTACCATTTTTCTAGTGAACAAGATGACTTCATGTATCAAACGTTTCTAGACGACGTTTTGGTTATTACTCACAGGCCAGGTTGAACAGAGGAAGCAGGGACCTGGTTCTTGTTGGTACCAACAGTCCTATCACGGGAATTCAGTTTCACTAAAAAACGATTCCGTGCAGCTCAATAAGGAGAATCAAAATAGTCGAGCTGAGGAGTCAGAGATATCTTGTTTTTCCCTCAGAGAATATTAGGCACTTTTTAGCAACAACAAAAGATAGCTATACATCAACACTTGAGAGTAATCCATTTATTTTGATACGTACGGTTATCTATCACGCTGAATTCTGGTATTTAGGCCTGTTCCAATTTGCTGAGCTTTCTGAGGTACTAAAGTTGTGGCCTCATGAATGCCAAAGCAGATGTTCTTGACTTGTTCGGTAGTGAGAAGTGGAAAACACAGAAAACGGGAAATAAATTATCGGTATATTCTGATTTGTTGAAGGTGAAATGTCCAGGCACACGAGAAGACAGGCCTAGGTATATGGCGTTCGGCAGACCAGTTGGAGGTTAGAGGGTTGAGTACGCTCCCCCCCCCCACATCAAACGTGCCATATTTTCTCACCTTGCATTTTCACTACTTAAACATTCCTCTTTTATTTTATTTTATTATGACCTGCTCAATATTACCAAGGCTGAATTTAATTAATAAAAAATATTTTTTTGAACGACTTGGCATTACGAATCCGCAAGTATCAGGAAGGTCAGATTCCTGAAAGCAACCACTGAACGCCCGAAATCTAATGGGACTCTCAGCTCCGCTAGATGTTGGCCAGACAGACAACTCCCCCTCAATATGCAGCGCGCCGCAGCCTCGAACAAAAGCCAGACCGCGTGCGTCAGCATTGGACGAAGTTCAGAGAGTATCCCTCCAATAAATAGCTTGACACTGGTTGTACTTTAGCACTAGCACACACTCGCGCTATCGCACTCGCTTGTTCGGAATATAGCTGCTGTGTTCCCTCTTGTGAGTCTTTTTTCCGCCACTAGGCACTGGAACGGGTCGCGAGTCAGATACAACAGGTTGGCAAATTAGTAGATATAATAGAAAGTTTTCCGGCTATGGAAGGATTATTATGAAGAGGATGCAATAAGGAACCTATTTAGACAGGCGACTACTAACTTCCTAATATCCAAAAAAGACATGACACTTTACTGCATTCTGAATCATCAGGTATTCTCTGTTTTTATAGGAAGAAGCGAGAAGAAGCGACAATTCTGGACTAGCCGAACTGTCCAGGAAACCTGACGCATTAAAATGAGCTGATGTTTAAACTTCTTATCCAAAATAAACTTAAACAAGATGATCCCTGATAAGCGTAGCGACACGTCGGTGGTTCATCCACTCACCAAGGAAAGTAATACTTCAGCAGTGATATGTCAAGAAGAAATTTAAAAGAATAAAACAAAAAATTTCGACCAGTAGCAAGGGTAGCTTAAATTTGTACTTTTCATTATAAGTAAGCCTTCAGGAAGAAAACAGCGAAGTACCGAAACGTAATATTTAACCGTGAAAGACATACTTGTCCTCCAGTTTCTTCCAGGTGTTTGAATTTAGCTCGTAGGTTCTTTGTGGTTTCTCCGATAATTGATAAATCCACGGGATCCAGGGTATCATCCGCGGTTACTACATCTGGATTTCTCGGTTTTGGTTTGCTTTCTAACACACCAACTGCGACCCCTTCAGGTGGCGGTGTAATTTCCTTTGGACCTCTAGGACCATTAGCTGTTCCGTTGCTTGTCTTTGACGCAGTCTCGATAAATTTATTTTTCACCGACTCAGCTCCTGCATACTTGATTTTTGGAGCTGTTTTCTTCTTCTTTTTCTTCTCCCCAACTTCACCTGTTTCGAATTTGTTTCTCAAATTTCCCATTCGTTGTGCGCCTACATTGGTTGAACGTCTTTCTGGGGTTTCTTTGGCCTCTACGACGCTTTCCTTCTTGGCTGGAATATACACATCAAAAGCGAAGAAAAACAAACTGTATAGATCTGACTACGGTCAAACACTTCGATATGAATAATGGATCACATGACACTGCGAATCAAAAACACTTTCTGTCCTTTTGCAGAACAACGAAACCTACATCCTTGAAAGTTGATTTTTAAAGTCACACAGTATTGTGTTTAACTGGCAGAGAAATAGCAGGAACGGTTGCTATAACCTTAACATCATTTTAGAGGACAAACAGTCGATGCACAATTTAAGGGTGGCATATGTTTCCTTACAAAATCTTGCCGTAACCTGACACTCATGATTGAAACCAACTTTAGAGAGTAATGAAAGCGAAACGTATCAGTGACCGACAAAATTCCCACACAACGATGGAATAAATTTGATGTGACCGGGATTCTTCAAGACAAGTATGGCGTTGGAATTCTCACCACATTTCTTCTAGTTGAGATGTAGGTTTATGGTTTCCATGAGACACCGTAACGGGGTGTCCCTATGGAAACTCACCATTTTGAAAACCACGTGTTTTCGTTTTCATAGAGATGACCTAATCATAACCTTGCGATATTCAGTAGAGATTTCACCCTGTCAGTGGAACCTTTGCTGAGGAGCCGAGAAGCATTGTACAGCTGTTTTATCCTTGTTGAAAATCATCACTACTACTCACTAATCTCAGGGACCTTCGAACCCGCGACCTTCCGGCCAGCGATTGGACACTTAACCGTTTGACCACGAGTGACTTATCAGCTCCCACAAAGGCAGGACATAGCGCCAACCATCATATCACGTGGTTATTGGAGATAGACACTTTGAAACAGATACAAAAACTAGGTTTCAGTAAGCTTGGCTCTTTTTGGGTGTGTAGAGTTGAAACTGAGAAATGCTATTCAAGGTTATGGAATTGGAATTTAAAGTAATTTCACGCTCGGAGGCTGGTAACAACATTAATCATGCTGCCGCGAAGTGCTCCCATTCATAGTGAAAAACGGCGATAGAAGAAACACGAACTACAGAGTCAGTGTGAAGTTTTCAAGGTAAACCATGGAAATAAAATGTAAACAGGAGCTCAGCTACTGATCAGAATTAGGATACCGTAATCGAAGGTAGAATAACTGTCTGCACCAAATTCGTCCGTCCGACAACATCTGTCCGTCTCGCCAGCTGAACCTCCACCAGAAAGCGTCATTTTAGTCAGGTCGCGTACAAACAATCGCATTACGAAAGGTCTAGCAATTTCATCCCACTTTTACAACACGCTCTTCATCTTCCCTTTTCCCTAATTTACATATGTGAGTCATGTTTTCTTGGTCCTCCGTAAGTTTACAAGAAGAAATCCCCGACGTGCAAGCTATCCGAGTCGCAAATGTCCAGGAATCCATAACTTAACGGATACTTTATTTTTGTGTCGGTTAGCTTATATGGTGCTTCGTAGCATGATGATAATTAATCACGCGAATTCGCGCCTGACATTTTTCCTGACTGTTTAGAGCCGGAAGCCTCTGTGGTGCGTGTGGCGCGTTGCATCAGGTTCATATTTCCTGACATCAGACACATTTGGGTATGCAGACTGAGTCACGAAAAGCAGCCGAAGGAGGAGATTGTTAGGTTTCGCAGCCACTCGCCATACATATGATAAAAATAAACAGCTAATGAGGGACGGTCGGATGTCCAATGGAGTAGTAGCTAGTTATGTTTCTTTTGTGCTTTTGTATACGTTACGATGCTTTGCGCTATTGCACCAAACAACTTCTCCAGGATCAAGTAAAATTTCTGAGATCTTCCAGTGATTCGGCTGGCGACAAACTTCTCCTGTCTTCTTTCTTCTTCCGTTCTTTTTCGTCATTCTTCAACTAGTCCTAGTTCGTAATGAAATGTAATCAAGAGCATTTGATGTTGTAAGCGCATAAATACCAACTTCAGTAACACCTGGTCCCTTCGTCAAACCCGTCCCGACTTATCCTCCGTTAGGGCTCCCAAAACAACTGATTATACCGGAACGTTTATAACGTGTGTCTGGGCACTGAAATGCAGTTTCTGGATATTTGGCGTTATAAATTACGGTGGTTGTTGTCTTGTTCGCTGAGCTGGGCAATTTGATTGCAAACGTTTAATCACCAATCGAGGTGACATCATCAGTGCGTCATTGGGGAGCGTAGCATTGCGTAGCGGTGGGTTGCTGTTTGTGCGTTGAATTATGCTACGAGTGTGTTAATATACGTGCTACTAGCCGGGGATGACCGTCGATCGCGATTAGTTGTTGGATCGGGCGGTCCCACTGGTTGCTCTGTTATCCTGTGTCCTCATTCGCCGATGCCCACGTGACCTTTGAACTTGGCGTCCCCAGCCGTCTTAATCTGGTCGATGCTGGAGTGACCTTTGTTCTTCCGAGTCCTGGCTTGTGACCTTTATTGGGTTGACTGCAAGAAGTCCCTTGTTTCTTTGTTTATGAATCCAAGATTCGGTCCTCCTTGAGTTTTCCGGTTGAGATCTTTCGCACGTAGGGGTGTGTAAATTAGGTCCAGTTCGATGTACCGGTTGGTCGAACTTGCCGTGGAGTACCATGCGTCCAGAAATTCTCTTCCGTGTCTCATGTCTCCGTATGTCAAAATGTTTTGCGTTTTCCAGATTGAATTTGTGGCCTTCTTGGTCCTCGTGTATGGATATCAAGGACAGGGGGTAATTCCTCTTGGAAAACTTGCCTCCCTTGGAAAACTTTCTAAATCTTGCATATCTAATGGAACAACAGAAATCCACCAACTACTTATTGCGTTTTCCAGATTGAATTTTGTGGCCTTCTGGTCCTCGTGTATGGATATCAAGGACAGGGGGTAATTCCTCTTGGAAAACTTGCCTCCCTTGGAAAACTTTCTAAATCTTGCATATCTAATGGAACAACAGAAATCCACCAACTACTTAGAGGAACTTGAATTTTCAGAATATTTATGTCAAGCAAAAAAATTGCCCGGATGTTTCAACTATTGCAGGAAGCATTACCAGCGTGCACCTCACAAATTTTACTTTTCAGTGAAACGAGGTACAGGATCACTCATGACTCATAATCACATGCTGTTAGTAGCTGAACCTAAGATGTACCAGTTTGTTGGCTGGTAATACTGCAGAGGAAATAACACGTAGCTTGCTGTGATATTTCCATTGCGAGCATATTAAACAAAGTTTGTAATTTGATGGAAGGCTTCGAAGATTTTAATCACGGATTTTAACCAGTTGAACGACCTTCGGTATTTACGGTGAGCTTGGTGTTCATGATACACAGTGAGCATGCAGCCATTACACAACTTGCATATGCAGCAGCATCAAATATGCAAGCAATTTTCGCACGAAGCTTTTGTTACTGATGACCCTGTATTGATTTAAGAGTGTTGGTATTTGGATGGAACATGAGAAACCTTTCTCAAAGTTGATTACCATGATTGCATGCTTTTATTCGGTACCTGTGTGTCTCTCAACCGGAGTGTGAAAAAGCCGGTGGATGAGAAAATTCCAAAAATACTCAGCCTAGCTCCCACGTTTTGGATGACCATACTTGTGAAAGGAAGAAGGCTTTTGCTGCGGAGGTATTTGTTAGGAAATGCTAATGACCGGTTACAGACCATTGCACAAGGAAGCAAAACTCTCATTTGCATCTTATTTAAAAAACTAGATATTTATCTTCTACTGAACGCGTCTTCTTGAACTTTCCTGGATATTCCTTGACTCAAATCATTCATCGCTCAAATCCAAGCAAATGCTACAAAGCGACTCCACAAATCCCGCAACACATTTCCCTTTTCAAGAGACGCAAAGCGAATTTACAAGAGCAAAACATACTACTCGCACACCTCCCATCAGTAGTATCACCGTTACACTGGTAATTGCAAACATCTGATAGCAATTAACGGAAGGGACATCGTTGAGAAGTAAGCCGTACAACTTCCCCCTGTCTGTATCAAACCAGTTCAAGTATGTGGATCGAGCAGCGTAGAAAATGGCTACAGAACTCTGTCTCCGCAGACGAGACTCATAAAAATAGCGAAAGCGATGAGAACGGTTCCCATGTAAACCAACCAAAATCATCTTGACAACTTGGAAAGGAAGCGAGCCCTCCTGCCCGAAAACCAGCGGAAAGCAATTCTAGAAGGCAATATTGACCTGAAACCTAACGTCTAATGTTCAATTCATCAATCGTTCTCTAGAGAAACGCCAAATATTGCAGTGCTTCAAATTGTTGTTTTCAGAACTGTTTGCACATAGACCATGACAACTTAAAATAGGGTACGTCAGACGAGCGAAGTCTCTACTGACAACCAGTTTACGAAGAGCAGAAAATGTTGGGTTCGCTTGGGAACGCTAATTATCCAGCTTGTCCTATTAAGGTTTTTGGTGGACGAAGCTCATGATTTTACTTAGACGCCCTCAAACTGACTAATCAGTGTGTGTGTGTATGCCTCAACAAGTGGTGTGAATAATAAAATCATTATTCACGTACACTGTAATCAACAGTCCTCCAGATGGTTTGAAATAGAGCGATATGTATTCGGGAATAGAACTACTACTTCACTGAGTGGCGCTCAATTCAATTATTTATCCTACTCTATCATTCGAAGAGTAACACACTGTAAACCAACTCGTCTGGAAACAAGTATGAGAAAACTGAAAATAAACGTCGAGATAACTATTAGCATCGTGCTTTGTTGCTGGAAGTATTACTATAAAGTGGAAATATTTTGGAAAAATCCCAAAAATATATGCTTGAATGTGAGGACAGTAGAGCAGGCAAAACAGCTTCCTCAAACAAGCGTGAGTGCGTTACGAGCTTACAGACACCAGCACTGTTACTTGATCATGCTGTGAATATTGGAGCATGAGAGATACGGCGTAAGTTTCAGAGCATGACACATGCTGGTATAACAATCAAAGTGTGTAGTTCTACCACACTTCTAGCATAAACGGACAAAAAATCAGTGGCATGAATGCATGAATGCAAGTAC